GGAATGGTGCATTCGACAGCAGGAATCCCCAAAGAAGCACTTCCCTGCTGCTCGTCTGTCGGGCGAGACTGTCGAGGAGGTGCAGGGAAGTGATCCGCATAGTACAGAAGTAGAGGAGGACAGTGTGATCCTTTCAGGTCGGGCCAAATGCCAGCATTCCAGTGGACAATACGAAGCTATCTTCTTCACTTCTCCATCCGCCATCAGAATGACCACCTCAGACGGCTCACCATTTGAAGCAACTATCAAGTTTGATCCCAATTTCATCCTCAACCATAACCACACACACACACACACACATACATACACACACACCCACATTACCCCCATTCAGCACAGTCCGTTTCCCCGACTCCCCGTCACAAGAGACGCTTAGTTTCGCGCAAATGCCTCCATTCCAGCCGGCACTCTTGAACGGCCAACTTCGGCCCTCCGATCCCACCGCTTCGCAGACACCAACTCCCAGTTCAGCTCGACCTCGTCCAACGTCTAGAAAGGTCCTTCAATCAGCCACGAAGCGTGTGCTGGTGCCAGCAGTTGGAAGTGGACAGACGAGCCAAAATCCAGCATAAACATGCCACGGAAATGTGCGAGAAAGAGCAAAAGAGAATCAAGAAGCCAGCAAATGGATGAATCAACCTAATGAATGATAGATAAGCGTATATGCTCACATTCATCAATCTCTCTCTCTCTCTTTCTGTAACCTATCATTCCGTCATTTCATCGGTACTTCCGTCTGTCTGTCTAGAAACTTTTAACCCCTTTTTTCCCCTTTCTCCTCTTCTCTTCATGCCCGACCAGGCTTCCACTTTATCAATCTCTCAGCAGCTCTCTCTTTCGCTCGCCCAATCGCCATTACCTCTACTTTCGCTCAGCATAAAACAGGAATATTTGCATTCTCCCATTCTTTTCCTGTCTTTGCTGTGTCTGCAAATTTAGGCATTCTTGCATTTGTGGCTTGCACGAATGAAAGATGTCTGGCCAACCGGGACGATTGGAGTTTATGCATCCGGAGGTACAGTCACCTGTCCTCCATTCAATTATCAACGCTTGTCGTGAGTCCTGCCTCTGGCACCTCAAAAGCTAATTAAGAATTCCCAACACTGGTACCACATAGCCCGGGCCTCAGCAAGGCCTTGGACGGAAAGAGGAAGGAGAAACGAGAAAAGCTTGCTCCCGCAAGCAAGGAGAGACAAAAATTTGCGGACAGAAGAGGCTATGCCTAACGAGAATACATTTGTAAAACTTGGCTGCATTTCCTCCTTCTGTGTGTGCGTGTGTGTGTGTGTCCATATCTCCATGGCTATGGGCCTTTATGTACAACATATAAGGGAATGTGTGAGTGTGGCAAAATCAGAAGTCAGCCCTGGGGCTATTTTATCGGGACTTAGTCATCCACTTTCGTGACGGATAGAATTTGAGGCCAACCGGACTTGATCGTGTGGAAGGGGTCAGCTGAATGGTGAGAAAGGTATTTCAGCCAGCCAATGGGCTGTTTCTAATACCACGCGACGAGTCATCGGCACAATCTTTTGGGGGGACGTCGTTCAAGGCTGACTTGACGACCGTGACAACAAGTGAATTCAGCCCGAGTAGACAGAAGACATGACGTTATCGTAGAAAACCTAAAAAATTGCTTTGCATAAAGCGGGCACAATTATAGTTAAAACGATATAGATTTTTTGATAGATTATAGTGACTTTATATTTGGCATTTCTATGTTAACTTTATTATTGATTACTTTATATTATTTTGTAAAAAATATTTATTTGTTTATATAATGTGTATTTACCATTCTGAATTACAGTATATTAGTAGATATAATTTGTTATGATAACTTTTTACAAACTAATTTAATCAAATATATGGGGTTTACTGGCAGTCTAGAAAACCTACTTATTCACCAAAAGCAATTTAATCGAAATCTGACATCAATTGGATCGGTAAGTTGAATAGACCTTGTCACTGAAATTTTTAAATTACGAAAAACAAATGAAAATTATATGTTACATGGAAAATACACGATTACTACTCAATTTATCACAATTAGCTTTGAGCCAGTGTTCACAACTTGACGAATTCCTGCTAATTAAAATTGTCAGACAGTGATTATCTAAGGCCGGGTTTGTGTTAAGGACAAAGTCAACTTTAGCCAAATCGTCGGAGGACTTCAATCCAGTGACATGTCTGCTAGCCTTCGTCCTTGCAGAGGCCTGTGAATGCACCAGAGATACATCAAGTCCGATGTGCAAAAGTTATTTTATCTGACGAAATGTTCACATATTTTGGCAGAGTTATTTCCGCTTCTTCTCGTTTGTTGCGGCTTTTTTTACAAAAACTGCAATCTTGTGTTCTGAGATAAATCTGTCTTCCTGGTCGGACAAAACCTTCAGACCTGTTGGCACTGGAACAAGCGATGGACTTGCTGTTATCGCATGTATGAAAATATGCTTCACTATTGAATTAGGCGATATGGAAAACCGTTTATTTTGACATCTGTTCGGTATGAGAGAAAACGGATTATGCAGAGAGATTTAGGGTAGGTAGGGCAGACTTGCAAGTAGGATATCAAGTCATTTCTTTCTTGATATAGGCCCTCTTAAACAAGAAAACTTGATCCTCCAAACTAACAGGCATCCTAATCTGAGTAGAATAACGTTTCAGGAAAGCAGTTTAAGATTAATCGTTTGATTGAAAGTAAAGCCGGACTTAGACAAACGCCGTCGGACATTCTTAATTCGTTGAAATGCATGCAGCTACAGTCCATGGGATATAAAGAAAAAGTGTGTTTCAAAGAGTTCCTTAGTGATGTAATGTGACAAGACTTTCCACTTCGAAGGAAAAGTTGGTGTGAAAGAATTCGTGATGTGGTCTCATCGGGAACCGAAGAGGCATTGACGCGTAGAGAAGACTGTCGAATTGTGAGAAGAAGTGCTCAGCTCCAGCGAGATGCTAGACCCCAAATTCTTAATAAAACTAGCTCACTTGTGATTAATGCAAATGATAAAGGTAGCCTGATGCGTAAAACATCACGATTTATATGCATTCATTTGAAGCAAATCTCTGAAACTTGCAAGTTTTCGGCGAGGAACGATTACGACATTATAAAGTTGGGTGATGAGCAGACAATAGAAAGAGGATATTTGCTGATCAGTTTCGATGTAGTCTCTATGCCCTCCGGATCAACACCTTTAAATTAAAACAGGTAAAAAGCTAGGCAAGTATTCGTTCATTAGATTCGTCAATTTGGCCATTTTTAACACATATTCTACCTTCAATGCTAAGTTGTATGAGCAGACATTTTTCGCCCCCAGCATAGCTGATATCTACACGGCCCGATTAGAAGTTGGTGTGTATCAAGAGACATTTCTGGTTGCCAAGTTATTAGTTCGTTGTATGGACGATTACTTTGCTGTTTGGCGTCACGGCAAAGACAGTTTAGGGCAATTCCTTGAGCCAATAAATAGAATAGATGCCAGTAACAAGTTTACGACGGAGTTGGGAAGGAAAAGTAAATTGCCTTTTTGGGATGTATTAGTGAGACAGCACGATAATTAGTTAGGCCGAGAAGTGTATAGGAAACACACACACACACACACACACACGGGTTCCCTCATTAATTTCTTCTCCAACCGTGCATATAGAGTGAAAACAGGACATGATAGTGATATGAAAGCAATGATAATAAGGAGTTTTCGTCTAGCCGACATAGACGATGCATACCAGAAGCTCAGCAGATTAAGGCAATTATTGTTTCAGAACCAGTACCCGTTAAGATTAACAGACAATAACATATCAATTGTCAGTAACAAGATGGGGCAATATATGAAGACCAAGATGTTGTGGCCTCTGGTGTGGTCGCAGTTGTTTGGGGGGGGGCAAGTTGTTTGGCCTGGTTTTCACAGCTTGGTCATATTAGCAGGAGTTCATAATATGCTTGATTATTTGCACAGTCGGACCGTGGACTTGGTACATTCTCAGACGTACCAAGTCCATGGGCATGATCACGCATGCTATGCACTCCAGACAAGATGCCTTCATCATGATCTTCCTACCAACATGACCAAGTTGCGAAAATAAGGTCAACCAACTTCGAAATAAGTCTACGACCAAAATAGAAGCCACAAAATCTTGTTCCTCGTATCTACGATTAAAGATCTAGTCGTTTGGTTATAATTAATCGGAGCATTGAAATCTATGCAGAAGACATCTAAGTTGAGTAAGAGCTTAGTCAAACAAGGTGGCTTTGGCTGATTTAAGGACTATTAGTTGATTTTTCCCACAATAAAATGAACACGCCTAGTGATACCATCGAATTTTTTATTCCCACCACAAATTTGAGTTGGGATGAGTCTATTCTTTCTCGAATATCACATCTGCCTGTGTCCGTGTGGTAAAGTCGAGTGGTAATACCACCAAGATACCCAGGACCCCGCGTCAAATCCTGCTAGTGGTGCCGATAAAAGACGGTGGGCCGGTATGAAGCAACCTTTTGGAGGGTGAAATTAAATTGCATACTCTGGCCTACTTATTTGATTGTGGAAAAAATCAACAATCACCCCACAAATCACCTTAGGCGTCCTAAGCTGATTAACACAATAAAGTGGAAATATGAATAAAAAGTGGGTTTTGAAGGATGCCTTGGTGATTTATTGTGACACTAATTTCCATTTCCTGTTAAAAGTTGGCTGTGAAAGATTCGCGAATTGGTATCACCGGAAGCCGAAGGAGGATTGTCTGATCCTGACAGATCTGTGCTAAGCTTTCGTCTGTACCGCAGTGACATGCACCATCAGAGCCCAAAAATATACTATATCAAGAGAGAAAGAAAGTAGCAAACTTGTTGATTATTCATCATTAGATGTTACCACGGAAGGGGTAGCATGAATGTGTTTACACTGTGCTTTGTCAAAATATAAAGAATTGCACCGAGCACATAGTAACAGAAGTCATAAGCAATACCGATCTGTGAAGAGAAGAGTATAAGATTGAGATTGCGTCACAGGTTGTTTCTC